AAGATATGGCAGAGTTGGAAGGTTGCGCCCTTCTCATTCGAAGCCGAGCAGATTCTCACTGCACGGACTTGGACGGACAAGAACCCTGGATACCGGTATGAAGTTCTAACCGACAACAACGACATGGAGTATGTCGAAGAGCACTACGGCCCTGACGGATTCGATCGCCCGGATATCGTCGACATGTACCGCAACGTGAATGCCACCATCATCAAGGCTGATTTGCTCCGCTACATGATCATGTACGCCGAGGGAGGAGTGTACGCCGATATTGACGTCGAGGATCTCCGACCCGTCAGCCGATGGATCCCGGAAAGATACAAAGAGGCCGACCTCGATCTCGTCATTGGCGTCGAGATTGACCAACCGAACTTCAAGGACCATCCCATTCTCGGCAAGAAGTCCATGTCCTTCTGTCAATGGACGTTCATGTCGCGACCTGGTCACCCCGTCATGCTGAAGCTTGTTGAGAATATCATGGCATGGCTTACTGAGGTCTCCAAGAACCAACGTGTGCCCATCTCAGCAATCAAGCTTGACTTTGACGAGGTCATTAGTGGTACTGGTCCCTCAGCCTTCACCAAAGCCGTCCTGGAAGTCATGAGTGCGCGTTCTCGATCCGGGCCAGTTACCTGGGACACATTCCACGACATTGACGAGTCGAAAGTTGTCAGCAACATCCTCGTTCGCGATGTCGAGTCCTTTGCCGCCGGCCAGGGACACTCGGATTCTGGGAACCATAACTCCAGGGGCGCTCTCGTCAAGCACCACTACCACGCCTCTAACTGGCCGAGTCGTCACCCCCGCTTCAGGCACCCTATCTTTGGCGAGGTGGAGAGATGCAACTGGAACATTGAGTGTGTCATTAAGTGGGATCAGGATATCGCCGCCTTCAACTCGCTCTCCCCCGAGGAACAAAAGCAAAAGGTCGAGGAGCATGAGAACCTTCAGAAACTTCAGGCACAACAGAACCAGCAAAAGTTGGAACAACAAAAGGCCGCTGAGCAAAAGGCTGCCGAGCAGCCTTTGATGTTCCCGCCACCTCAACAGCCTCTTCAAATACCTCCTGTAGATCCTGCACAACAAGAGGAGCTGAAGATGGTATGAAGGGACCCAGTTCACAGACCCGAAAGTCTGCAAACTATCCTCACGTCGCCGTCGCCTCGACGGCTACGATCGCCGCGTCGTTGGCAAGAATGATGACGTGCAAGATCGATTCGCGCGCCCGAAAAGCAATGCGACAAACACGAAGCATTACGAGTAAAGAGTGCGAGATATGTTTATGAGCTTGAATTTTTCCCGGTAGTCAGCCGGAAGAGCTGCGCGGGATATAATACATGACGTGCGGAATTGAGTGGCAGTTACATGATGATCCTCTTGTGTTTACGGATTGAGCATTTGGCCTCAACCAGGACGCTAGGGCTCAGGACATCATGACCACTCGCATGATTAGACACATAAATAGCTGAGATCGACATACACAAGACTAGGAACGAAGATACCCTTCACAACTCCTGTACATACCTTGGTAGCGCATTTTCATTACCGGCGGCATCTTTACACAATGCTATATGTTCTGACTTGGTTCAAACCAATGCTCCATGAGTTCAAAATCTCTCAAGCCGCATAGTGCTCTGCTTTTTATTGTTTGGGGTTGACAGCGCTTATCAGTCGGATGTTTAGTCGCAGTTGTACAAGCGTCTCTCAAAGAACGAAGATTCTGATTTCATGATATATACAATGAAGTTAATGATATGTGCTTTCAAGCCTCTCGCACCTCGACACGGACTTGAACCCAAATTTGGGACGAATTATGTACGAATTTCGGGCTTCCATGACTTCAAAGCCTTCTCATGCCTTGATTACCCTTCCGAACCGCTACATTAACTCTCTAGAAGGTAAGCTTCTGGCCAGCCTGTCCAGGGACGGTAGCAACGACATTGGCGGAACCGAGCAGGCTGTAGGAGTAAGGGGGAGAGTTGGCGTTCATGGTACCGACGGGGGCCAGGTTGGAAGCACCGCCAAGATCGTTGTCAATGGCAACAGCGTATCCAACGATGTCGGAGTCCTGGGAGGTGATGGGGACAGTGACATTCTTGAAAACGTTGCTCTGGATCAGGACCTGGGCGTTCTGGCGAGTATTGATTCCAGAGTTACCGCTAGACACGAGACGTTAGTCATATTGATCTTTGTCTTCGGAGGAATAATGCAAACATTGAACATTGACGAGGTACATACTTGAGGTAGTAGGAGTTGTAGACGTGACCAGTGCCGAAGCGCAGAGATGGGCCGCGAGAACCAAAGTTAGCCCAGTAGTTGTTGGCGTAGGTGATGCGCAAGTGGCCGCTGTCCTCTGCACCGTTGTTCTCGCTGTGTCCGACCAAAGAAGTCTTCCAGTGGTCGTGGAAGTATGTGCTGATGAATGTCAGCAAGCATCCCTCGCCCTGGCTGAGTTGAAGACCTACTAGGAAATAGTCATGTAGTCGGCAGCATGGGAAGCATCCACGAGACCGTCGTAGTAGTCCTTGTCAGAGACAAGGGCCGAAGAGAACTCGCAGTGGTCGATCCAAACATTGATGCTTTCCTAAGGAGAAGAGATCTGTCAAACCTGATGCTCAGAATTCTAGCCCATCTGAGGAAGCTGCTCACCTCAATCTTCACGCCATCGCCAGTTGAGGCAAGCACATTGGTAGACTTGATGTTGCGGATAATCACGTTGGACATGCGGCGGACGTGCAGTCCAATGCCGTTGAATCCTATGAGACGAGAAGATAAGCCAGTGTGCGGGCAACATAAGGGATGAAAGATTCTCACCTGCACCAGCAGATGCGCCAATGACGGATTTGTTGCTGCCGATGCGAACGTTGGCAGTGCCGCTAATAGTGCCCTTGACAACCACGATCCTTGCAGCGGTATCCTTCTCGTTGACAGCGGCAGTGAACTCGGCAAGGGTAGAGACGGTAGTGACCGTGCCACCAGATCCTCCTGAAGTTCTACAACACTATTAGCTCTATTACGTTTCAAGATCCCTCACTAGTAGACCTACCCGCCGTTCAAAGTGGCATAACCGAGAGTCGCCTTGTCTGAGATGGAGGCTCGCTTCACGAGGTGGGCCTTCTCCGCAGTGTAGTCGACGGTAGGGGTCGGAGTCGCAGCCGCAAGGGCGAAAAGCGTAGCCAAGGCGGAGGTGATCTTCATCTTGCAAGTTCGTGTGCAACGATGATGATTAGAAGGGTATCAAGGGGAGTTTTAGGGTATGCCAAGAGATATCAAGGTCGAGGGTAGAGGGTGCCGAGCAATCCAGAACCCAAAAACCATGTTTCATTACCATCTCTTTATATAACATCTTCAGGCTCTCGATCGGATGCTTTTCCGTCAACACAACAGGGACACTATGATCACGAGATGGTGCTAAGTCTCCACGGATCACGGTATACGCTCACGAAATGCAGGCATAGCTTCAGGCAAGCCCTCGACATCTGAGATTCAAGGTACGAGAAGGTAACATTGATGGACGGATTAGAAAACATGATCATTCCGCGAATGGCAGCGTGCTCCTGGTATGGAGCTTATCGACCCCTCGAGCTGGTCTTCCGCTGGCTCTCCAGATGTCGTAGAGAGACCCCTGTTCCGTAGGCAAATTGCGAACTAGAAGTACCTTAGTGAGATTGCCCACGCTAACGCCATCGAACCCAGGCGAATCACAAAGGAGGAGACGACGTCCAAAACAAGCTTGTTTACTAAGTTGAAGCTTTCCGTCCGCTAATGACTTCTTTATTCGGTGGGGAAACGTCTTGTGTCATGTAAAGTTGAGCCCTTGACTGCAGGACGGGGGGTGGGTGTCCGGGGTAAACATTGGGGAAATTTCCTCAAATCAGCATTTCGCCTTGGCCCAGCGTGCAGGTACCGGCAGCATCCGGGAATCAGGCACTTACCGTCGAAGCCGTGGCATCTCATAGAGAAAACAGAGAATATGATTGGCGATTTCCAGGTGTTCATGCAAGGGCGGCAGTTTGAAGACGCGTCCATGCAGCTGAGGCCATTGTTTGGACGGAATTAACAAGAGGGAGTTTTTCCCGTGGTGGGAAGAGGTCTGTGATTGAATAGGATGGAAAGGAGGAACAGCACGACATTTGAAGGACGGTTGTGTGATTGTGTACAAAGATTCTGTATTCTTCAACTTTGTGCCTTCAACATGAGCCTGCCCTTGGAAGTAGAATGAAGTATTTCATTGCCAAGTAAGAGTCGTTGCACAATAGAGGGTAATACATGTTCGTTCCTCACTAGTCACAACGGGTACTTACTACGTAATCTGACAGACGTTCCCCTACAAGAAGGTCGCATCATTCTTGTGAGCATATGCGGGTAACCTTGTACTTTCGCCTCCGCGCAGGTATGATGCCGGCCATCCGAACACGAGAAGTAGTTTTATTCGGGTACAGATTGCCGAAATATCTCGGCTTCCAACCGTCTGGAACTAAGATTTCAGAAGGAATAAGATCGACAACACTTGAAGAGCCTCATCTAGCTGTTGAATTATCGGCTAGCGTAGTTGGAGTGTGCGAGATGAACGACGTCGAATTTGACGGGACCTGACATATCTTGGCATCGCCAAGATAGGCTTGGCACAAAACCTAATAGCCGGATGATGAAGCGAGCTGTTGCTGCTGACGGACAACGTCTAGGGTGCGTTGACACTCCATAGTAATTGGGGATGAAAGACAAACACAAGTCTTTCCAACGTCACGGTTTCCGTTGAATATTTTCCAAAAGTCTCGGGTCTTCTGCAAAAGCTAACAGTTGTGGGGACTATAAACTCCTACCTCAGACTTGAACGGCATTCGAAGGCTTTGATTCGTGGAGAGATTTTACACGTATAGAACATCCGCTTCTGAACAGATTCTAGCCGGGGATAACACATTTCAAAGACATCGTGTATTGATACCTACGAAGTGCAAACTACCTTACCTAACTAAAGAAATAGCGATCTCTGACTGGATCTACTTAAGATGAGGGGCATTGTAGCGGTGCGTAGTTCGACTCCACAACTCATTACCACTCATCTGAAGTTCGATCCCCTCCATGTAGGTCTTCAGTGCATCAGAGCAGCCCTCCTGGAGCTTCTGCTGGACGATGGCATCGTGCTGTCTCTCCCACTCCCGAATCATGACCCAGCAGGTTCGCTTCGCGCCATCATAGTCAAGGCCACTCTCATCAGCCAGAGTTTGAACAATGTTGCTGACGATGGAGCCCTCAGCCGCGATGTCTTTGGAAGCGCGAAGTTCTTTATCCCAGCTCAGGACATCATTGATGACGGAGATGTGGTGCGTGTAGTTGAGTTCCAGATCAGCAACTGAGGCCAGTTCTTCTTTGCTGAGGTATATTGCGTCCTGGAAGCGCTGGGTAGCTAGAAGCACGCTGCAGAAGGTCAGATAATCGAAGCTTAAAGTTTACCATCATGAGACTTACGCAGAAGCGACGTCGAGCTCTCGATACTTGAGATATTCTGCCACACTCTTCTTCGCCAGACGATCCTTATCATTCTGAGACCGCCAAAAGGCGAACGTAGGCTCTTCAATGTCATCCGAGAGCCTCTTGTCGATGGATCTCATATCTTCCCAGACATTCAAGACCATCTTCTCAATTGGCGAATCCTGGGCAGGTGCCGTCTCACCCTTGACTATAGAGATCAATCGCTCGTTGTAGGACGAGCCTTCCTTCAGAGAAAGATGCTCTAGCAAGTCTAAAGATTCATAAAAGTCAGAACACACTCTTGGCATGGGCACAAAGAAGTCCCACTTACCATCAATAAGGAAGAGCATGACCATGAAGCGGCAAGCCGCACCGACCCGGTCCTCGCGGGCCGTCGGGTACTGGCACAAGTGCCAAGTTGGCAGACCTTCAGCAACAAACTGGAGCTTGGTTCGCTCATCAGGGAAAGGCCAGTTGTTGAGGAAGTAGTTGTTAACCTCCATGGTGATCCTCAACCCAGACGGGTGAAGTCGTCCGACCATGTGGGAACGCGGAGGGTCATTATTCTTGCGTCTAGCCACTGGGGTCTCTGTGATGGCCATATCAATTCTGGAAGGCATTGTAAGATAGGCTATAGGGTAAAGAAGCTTGAGGAGACAGTTCGCAGTAAGTGCTTTTGCGTTGGCTCAACACAATCTTTTTCCAAGTATCGCAGGAAATTTTGGCCCTTTTATGTGAAAGGAGACTCATATCAATCTGTCTCTTGAGCGAGACCCAGGAGATCTGGCCGTACCATCTCCTCCGGACTTCTGAGGCTCAAGTCCCGAAGGGTCAGGACAAAGGCGGTCACATCAGGCTGCCTACCCGGCCTTCGAGGGACGAGGATCCGGAAATGCACCTCCAATCTCTAATCCTGTGTCGAGGTCTCGGCGATGTTCCATCATGCAAGGGCCTTATTGAATTTAGACAGGAGCCACCGACGAAGCAACCTTCGTGTTTGTTACTTTTGTAGTTGGTCTTAGAAACCCTCCCGGTCGTCGTATCGCCCAATGGCGGTCCTTGCCGGTGAATCTGACAGCTTAGCTACTTTCTTCAGCTAACGAACAACTGATCTTGGCAAGGATCGTGACGCCACAGGGACTGAGTTGTTGTTGGGGTAGCAAACACCCATTTCGCCTCCGGAATTAGATGGATTTATCCAGGCTGTGAGGGAGATGTGTCGCACGTTGATAGCGCGCACTGGGGCGACGCCAAAAGCACACCGCAGAAGCTGAAATACGATGGGGCCGGAGATACAAACTCGAATTCTTGGCTTTAGATTTTGTTGTTGATTCGTCCCTTTAACTCCATCATCTCCATGTTGGTTGCCAATGTTTGCTCATTGTCTCAAGCAAACTTGATGGTACAGTGCACCAACATGAACGTGCCGCTTAAGCGCAAACACGGTGCCCATACTATGGACCAATCACGAATGCTCCGCATGGTCTACTTACTCTCAGGGTCTCAGACTCTCGAATAACCATCCATTCGGAGTTTCGGGATTATGACTATCTTCTGCATGGCTCACCATCGGGAGTGGCGACATTGGCACTAAAGGGTGTCGGTTTCCTGTCAACCAAGATAGATGGTGTGCATCTCACGCCTGCATAGGCCACTCTTCCATGAGCCGCATAGCCTTGCCAATATGCAATATGCACCATGGCACTCGTTGTGCTCAACCGGGTGATCAAACCGCGTCGACACAAGGAAGATAGTTATTACAAGAAAAACCTCAGTGGCACGACTCAAGCAGATAATTTCACATGTTTGTTGTGTGCTTGATCCCGCCAAGCTTCTGGTGGATCTGTCAGGTGTTGGTGCTGGATGACGCATCATTTGTCGTGGCAGGGATCAAGATCCGACTATCTGGATCCATCATCCAAGCGCCCCGGACATGGATGAAATCCGGTTGGGATGGTCGAGTATCTGCGGGCCGAGACCTTTTCTCGTGGAGGGGAATGCCGCTCTGAAAAGAGATGTCATTGGAGTTAGAAGAGAGATTGAGGAGCTCATGAACCTTTCCCAGGTGGCGACCGGCGGCGGGGAACTCTGCGGTTGACAGAGCTTTGCCTGAGCTTCTAGCCTGTGAAAGCTGAACTATCAGAAATAAAGTTTGTGACCCTCGAAGGATAAGTAGAATACGATGCCTCAAAGTTGCATTGAGCTCTGGTAGTAGAATGGACTTGCTCACTACGCCCGCTTGGCAATGTCAACGAAACTCTTCCCCAAAAAGGTAGCTTAGTTCATCACGAAACGTCAGTGAGAACTAACATGTGCAATTTCACGATTGCCCCAATCATCAATTGTCACCCCATGCTTTTGGACCATGAGCTGGTGTCATGAGGCGGGCGTAACGGTGATGGATGGTGAGATGAGTTAAACCCCGCGTGTCCCGGAGGTCTAGAAGCGGTCACCCGGCACTAAAGAAAACCAACCGAGGGAAATCGGCTAGGGGTGCCCTCTCCCTCGGGAGTCGGAGTCGGCGCCGAGCATGTCCGATGATCGGGAGCAGACATGTTTGGCTTTTGGTGGGCTACCTGGTGAAATAAGGGGTTTCCAGAGAGCCTTTTTGTGGAGTTTCGACGCGAACCAAGAGCTAGAGTCTAACTAGATGTAGTAATTGCCGAGGCACTGCCCTTCAAAGCATCATAGCTGCTCTCCGAGTCGGAACTCTCGAAACCTCGATTAGATTAGATCTGGACAGCGCACACCTCACGACTCAAGAACAGCATATCCTACAAAATCCCATCTGCAGCCTCCGTTTCTCCAGACAAACTTCCCCAGTCCTTCACTTACCCCAGCTTATCATCCCCACATACAAAAGTCACGATGCCGAATACCCCGGATTGGGTCAAGGCCCTCCAGCCATCTGGCCCGCAGGGCACTGAGCTCCTCGCTCAGGAGCGCGCAAAGTCCAACCTCAACGTCGACCAGCTCGCGTCGTTCATGTTCACAAACGAGGCTCTCGAGCGCAGCGAGAGGATACTAAACATCCTCAAGAAGGAGCCTGTCTTTGACAAGACCCAGAACTACTTCCGCGGCCGCAATGCCCGTATCGAGGCCGCGCTGGCGAGAGGCAAGAGACTTTTCCAGCTGACCAAGGAGCACAACTGGTCTCAGCAAGACTACATCGTTGCCAACGACCTGATTGCTGAGCCGACACCGTATGGCCTCCACGCCAGCATGTTCCTCGTCACGCTTCGTGAGCAGGGCACTCCCGAGCAGCACGAGCTCTTCCTCAAGCCCGCCGAGAACTACGAGATCCTCGGATGTTACGCCCAGACCGAGCTTGGCCACGGCTCCAACGTTCGCGGCCTCGAGACCACGGCAACGTGGGACCCGTCTGACAAGAGCTTCGTTCTGCACTCGCCTCACTTGACGGCCTCGAAGTGGTGGATCGGTTCCTTGGGCAAGACGGCCACCCACGCCGTCGTCATGGCCCAGCTGATCCTCAACGGCAAGAAGATTGGCCCCCACCCCTTCGTCGTGCCGATCCGCGACAAGAAGACTCACGAGCCTCTCCCGAACGTCCACGTCGGCGATATCGGCCCCAAGTTCGGCTACAACACCATGGACAACGGCTTCTTGCTGTTGAACAACGTCAAGATCCCGCACAACCACATGCTCGCCCGATTCTCGTCCATCGACCCGAACACGAGCAAGTACATCCGTCCCGCGAACCCCTCTCTCATCTACGGAACCCTCACATGGGTGCGATCCAACATTGTCCTGCAGTCAGGCTCCGTCCTGGCCAAGGGTGTCACCATCGCCACCCGCTACTGCGCCGTCCGCCGACAATTCCAGGACCGTGATGCGCCGGCTGGTGAGCCTGGAGAAAACCAAGTTCTCAACTACACCATGGTGCAAATTCGTCTGCTCCCCCTCCTGGCAGCCACCTTCGCCCTCCACTTCACCGGTCGCGGTATGATTAACCTCTACAACGAGAACCAGAAGCGCATGAAGGGCGACGTCGGCAAGCTCAGCGACGGAACCAGAAACCCCGGCCCCGAGGAGTTGAACCCCGGCACCGACCTCCTCGCCGATCTCCACGCCACCTCCTGCGCTCTTAAGGCCTACGGCTCAACCGTCGCTGGTGAGGGTCTCGAGATCTGCCGCCGCGCCTGCGGAGGCCACGGATACTCCTCCTTCAGCGGTATCGGCTCCTGGTATGCCGACTACCTGCCAACCCTGACCTGGGAGGGCGACAACTACATGCTCACCCAGCAAGTTTCGCGCTACCTGTTGAAGTCCGCTCGCTCTGTTCTCAAGGGCAAGGCCGGTAACAACGACACCACTCGCATTCTCTCCGAGTTCCTCCGCCGCCGCGACATCGGCGCCGCCTTTGACGTCCTCGGCTCCGACGAAGACCTCGTCGCTGCCTTTGCCTGGCGTGTGTCCTTCCTCACCTTTGAGGCCCTCCGCCACAGAGACGAGGACAAGCAGTCCTGGAACAGCCTTCTCGTCGACTTCTGGCGCCTCAGCACCGCGCACGCCCAGTACATGGTCGTCAAGAACTTCCACCAGGCTCTCAACGACAAGGCTACCACCGAGCAGCTCGACAAGGACACCGTCGGTCTGCTGCACAAGCTCTTCAGACTGTATGCTCTGAACACCCTGGAGCAGGAGGCCAGCGAGTTCTACAGCTCTGCGGCTGTCACCGTCCGCCAGATCACGCTGGCGAGAACAAAGGCCGTCATGACCCTCCTGGAGGAGATCCGCCCCCACGCAGTCCGCCTGGTCGATGCTTGGAAGTTTGACGACTGGGTCCTGGACAGCAGTTTGGGCCGTTACGACGGCAAGGTGTACGAGGACATGTTCAAGCGCGCCAGCGAGGACAACCCGCTTAACAGCGTCGTGTTTGACCCCTACCCCAACAGCAAGGTGCTGTTCAAGAAGGATGAGAGAAAGGACCTGAGAAGCAAGCTGTAAATGATCTCACTAGACGGGAGACTATAGATGTTATAAGGGATGGTTAAATGTTTTGATTGTAGAATTACTAGCGCAACGCAGATGAATAGAATCTGAAAGAATGGGAGATTTGACTTAGCACTACCTGCAATGGCCGTAGGCTTTTCTCTTCTGCCATGAGCAACTTTGACCATGAAGACATGGTTATATCAGGGCAAAGTTCAAGAGTATTTGATCTGAAGGTCGAGCGAATGACTCGGAGACTCGTATATCGTGGCAACCGTAGATTTAACAATCTAAGATAGCAAGCTGTCTGGTTGAGTTTCCTTCCCGTGCAACCTTCCCGCGTAATTGGGAACGAGCCCGGAAACGGCGGTACCTCAACCTGAGTTGAGGTGGGCCGATTGGGGCCAGGTCTCGCTGACGATCCCGTCAGCTTTCCAGACTGGCAACTCAATCGACCACTCCGCCGCTGTTTTTCGGCATGCCTACTTGAAAAGACTTGATCTTGATTGTAGGCCTAGCTACACTTCCTTGTTTTTATTATACTGATAACTCCTGAGCAGTGCAAAGTTCGGCTCTGCTCCTTGTTCTCATGAGCCTGACCTTATATGCCCATGTCGAAATTGGTAAAGCTCTCCCGGGTCACACTTGATCGCTCTACTATACTAGAATAACAGGCTCCCAGTTGGGTTCAACAGAGGCCCATCCGTCCAAGGAGATAAAGCCAATTCCAAGACGAGAGTAGAGCCCGCTCATGCGAGATGTTAAAAGTACATAAAACCCAAAACCCTGGCTTTCCGCAAACATAGCATTGTGCTCCCAGGTTCCAGGAAACTTGAGGCCAGCGGCGGTGACTACCATGTAGTGGCTCGACCCCATGCTCAGACATTTTAAAGCCCACTGCCTATGCATAGGTGCAGTGGTTCCTATCTTTGTGCCATCGTCGCCGTAGATCGTAAGTTGAATCCCGTCATCGTCCCCGCGAAGATATGACCCTATCCGGACTCTGGCAACTGTGGTGTTGAAAACCAGACAGCGAGGGTGTTCTTCAGCCCTGGCTTTGATCTTGCTGTCAAGCTCGATGTGGTGGCGAGCTGTCATAGGATTGTGCGGAGACCGTTTCCACATGTCAACCACGGGGATCCAAGATGCCTCTTGTCGAGGATCCTTATACTCAGCCACCTGGCTACGCTCTCCCCTAGGTTGAAAGAAGGCTTCAATATCTCGCTGGAAGTCTTCCTGCCGCATAGAACCATCGATTCGATCTTCCGGAAACCAAACCTTGCCTTCACAAATGTTTCTGAGCCTAGAGGGGCCAGTAGAGATTGGGTCACAGTAGAAAAAGGAGACAAGATGTCCAAAGTGAATCTGGTACATCGGGTCCAACCAGTCGCCGTCAATTCTACCCCCGAGGGACCGTTGATAAACAACGGAGCCCTTTCGGGTAGCCCACGTCCATGATGGAAGTCTCAGCCCTTCGGCCGTACGGTAAGTAACGCCCAGAGGAGAGCAAAAAGACCACAGGAGGCTGTGTGCCAAGTACCTCTCCGGGAGCCCTAGCAGCATCTGCGTCTTGGCCCGAGCAGCGACAACATTGCCGACGCCAGCAAAGGCACTCAGAACGTCTTCTCGACGGCCGAGTGTTCGTTTGGTATACTGGTCCACTAGAAGCGGGTAAAATCCGAGCACCCCATCATCGCTGTACTCATCGGATCTAAGGCCCTTTTCGAATCCTCTTCCACCCCGATCTGGGCCTATTCTTGTGACGCCGGCAGTCTCTGATTCCTCATCTGGTCGATAGTGCTTGATGTCTGGGTATCTATGAAGCTCAGAGCCCTCGTGGAAGCAACTGAAGTAGACATGCCCGGAGCTGAAGAATACGTGCCGCCGGGAGAGCAGCTTCTCCTGGAAGGTCCACGCTCTCGTGTTCCACTCGCTGGAGCTGATGACCTGGTTCTCGCTAAGAGGGGCTATCCCGACGACGGCATGTTCCATGGCGGATTTCCCGCCCGATTTCGTACCCTCGACTGCTTTAGGCACGTGCTTGATGAATTGCCAGCAATGGTTCTTGTGAGTGGAAATGTTGGGCCTCGTAGTAAGACCGGGTAGCCCAGCACCAACACCATTCGCAGCTGCAACAATGGTGAATTCTGCGAGTTGATAAATGTCGTTCATAGCGTTGATCTGTGCCATCTTGAGATCTTCGTCGTCCTGGAGGATGCACAAGCGATCAACCCAGAGGTATCGCTGTCTCATGTTCCGACACAAGTGGATGGCGTCCCCAACTACTTCTGGTAGCAGATCAGGCACAAGAGAATCAGTCTGGTTTAACTTTTCTGCGTTCGACGTTGTCAAGTGAAGATCCCGATCCGCTGAAGCAGTTGCAAGCCGCCATGTATAACTCAGTGCCACAAAGGCAACCTGAGTCTTTGGCAGGGTAATCCGCCTGCGTTTAGTGTCGATCACGCGGAACCCGGCAGGGAGTTTTGATTCTGTCAAGGGCTCGCTGCATTTGGGTCCGTGGTAGTTCTGGCAGCTCGCTAGCCAGCTGCGAAGGAGGCTGACGTTGATGTATCGCCGATCCCAGGGTTCTGCCAACTCAAGTCGGGTTCCGTCTTTAGACCCATACTGAAGTCTGATCCCCAGAACCACAGGTCGATAAACATGATTTGAATTTCTGCCCGCTAGCGGTGTAAGCCCCGAAACGCAGATAGCCAAGGCGCAGCTCTCAGCGAAGGCCGACATCTCATGTGCCCTATTGGATATGAGGGTACGAGAGCTTGGGTCCGTCCTACGACTCGGGAACAGCCCGCAGACTGCGTATTCAGTGTCATCGCCGGCGCCATCTACGGTGCTTATCTCCGAGCTGATGAAGCTGCATATCATGCAGTTTGGATTATTGGCGGTGCTGCTCAACGATCGAAAGGTCAGAGACTGGAAGCCGCAGGAGGCAGATTCCGCTTCATCAAAGTCGGGATCGAAAGCTGAGACGTTAACGTCTTGTGATGCGTAGTAGCAATAGACTACATGAAAAAAGTCATTCCATGGCTGGCAACCAATGCAAAGAAGGGGATTGGGGATGATGGAGTTCCTGCCATCTGCACAGAAAGTGCAATCGTTTAGGCTGCTGACGTCCCTGCCATCTAAGTGTATAGACATGCTTAATGCATTCTTTGCTCATATTTGGGTCTTCAAGTTGTTAGATGATGTCCTGTATTGCGACTGAGCGAATGGAAAATCAGGCCAGGCAGCCGTCAAAGAAGTTCGTCGGACAACATAGGCTGCGGGGTCGCGGGACTTTGGACATCATTGGCCAATGATGAGTGGGTAGACGGGTGAGCGAATGGCGTATCGTCAATGAAGCTCTCCAGACCCATGTAATATGGACGGACAGCATGTATATTCCCTCTCACAATGAGACTTTTGCAACCTTCTTAGCTTCAGCCAGACTCATCTTTTATTTGGGGAGAGTGATGAGACTCAGAAGTTTAGAATACTCGACGCAGTGCATAAGTGTGTTTTTATATGGGTTGTAGTGTCGACTGCTGGCCAAGATCCGACCACAGAGTTTCCATCCATGACAAGGCCGGCGACTAGCGACATGCTCTAGCTACAATGAAAGAAGACCTATGCCTGTATCTTCATCAGAGCGGATTGGATCAAGAGCTGTCTCGGCGATATCTCACACGATAATTTACTACTCAGAACCTTGTTTTCATTTCCACCATTCCTGCTAACTGCAATTCTTCTTCTTTCTGCTGTTAATGTTACTACTACCATTATCATGATTATTACCATTATTAAGGTACTTTTTTACTTCTTGTATCTTCCCTTCAGAATACACTTTAATGGCGTAAGATGCTCATCATGGTAATCGTATGGGACAGACGAAGGGTGTCAGAAGCCAGGGCAATAAAGGCAGTGTTCTTCCCCTTTGACTTTCCACCTATGGAGATTTTGGACCAAGAGATTCATGTATAACTCTGCGTGTATATTCATCCATGGATTAAATGTTTGCCGCATTGCTGATCAGGAACGTTTGCTCCGGTTGGTTGTGGCTATTGGCGGGCACATGCGCCCTCCCCGGTAAAGTGACGTCAATAGCTCCCCACCATTGTCGCTCTAAGACAAGCTCCCGTCAAGCTCCCATCCCTTCGCACCTAAGGCAAGGTACCGAGCTCAAGCTACGTCTTTCAACTTCTTTTTCCAACGGTGGCTACATTTCTTCCTTCTCAAGACATTTACCCTACAGAAACTTTTCACTACCACGAGCGGGATATCAAAGACCTGCCTGGGCCCTTTGGCCTCCAACCGCCACCATGCAGATCCGGAGCACCTCCATCTCGTCCTCGATCCTCACAGCCATCTCAGGCGACTCAAACAACCCCGACAAACCAAGCCTCAAAAAGCGTATATTCCGCGTCTTCACTTCATTCCTGTCCGTCTTCCACCTCCCTCTTGCTCGATACCGCGCCGCAGACTTTCTCGAACTCCGACACAATGTCTGGCAAATCGATGAAGACGAGTATACGAACTCCTTCCACCTCGCAAAGAAGGCAGCCAAGGGCAAGGGCCGCGAATCCGATCTCGTGCCTGTCGGCGACTTGGGGTACAGCGGCTCGACCTTCTTCACGACGGCCGATGGGAAGTTCCTTATCAAGTCGCTGCCCCGCCGGTTCGAGCACGAGTTCTTCACGCACGACTTGTTTGACGCCTACGTCGCGCACATGAAGAAGCATCCGCACAGCTTATTGGTTCGCATCACCGATATGGCCTATACCGCGAAAGCGACGATCGGCGGCATCCTCGGCATGGCGCCGACGCACCACATCATCATGGAGAACCTGATGTTCGGCAAGAAGGAGGAAGAGACCGATCATCGCAGGAACCAATGGGAGACATACGACCTCAAACCAAATGACTACTTCTTCCCCGAGCGGGACATCGCCAACGGCAACCTTGCACCACAGAGTGTCAAGGAACGCTTGATCGACGAGTTCGAGGACAAGGTTCGCGTCACACCCGCCCAGAAAAAGGAGCTGCTTGACCTTCTCGAAGCCGATACCCAACTCCTGGCCGAGAACAACGCCGTCGACTACTCCCTCTTCATGGTGCGCTTTCCCGGCCCCAATGTGCTCGATGAAGCTCGCGACGTACCCACGATCCAATCCGATGCACCTCCCTGGCGTACCGGCCTGACAGACGCTGACGGCAACTGGACCTACCGCATGATCGTTCTCGACTTCTTCTGGGCCAAGCACAAGTTCCGCGCGAAGGCCATGACTGGACTGGTCAAGTCGTACAACGTCTTTGCCGGCCACGGCCCCATGAGCATTACTGCCAATCCTACGGAGTATCGGGAGAGATTCCTCAACATGGTTCGGGATTTCGTTGTTGAGGTATAAGGCAATTGGTCAACAAGTATCAGGAGGGGAGGTTGGAGAGTTTCCCTTGGCTATTGAGTTAATGAAGCACGGCGTTGGGCTAGCATGTATACCCCCTTTCCCTTGCGTAGTATCAGTTTCCTTTCCAAGATTTGAAGATACCAGATTCCAAACGATGCTTTCCGATACATTTGGTCATATTTGTCTCACACCGAAGTTTTGGTATTTGTTTACTGCACTTCCTGTGACCCTTAATTAATATACCACATCAATTCTAGTAATGCTGTTATAAGTTCTCGAGGCCTTTGTAACAAGTTTACTTCAGACTACACGCACTCGGTCCACTTCACTTGATTCCCTTCACTTCACCTCCTTCACTGAATCGTCTTTAAAAGATATTTGAAGCTACAATGAATTGAGACCAGGATCCCCTCATAGCAATTGTGCCTCATCATATTTTTCACATTCTACTTGTCTTCATGGTGACTTATCTTACCATAAAGACTGGACTGCCTGGGCTCATCTGTGATATTTCAATAACAGGATTCAGGGGTCTCGCAACTCTTTGGAATCCCTCTTGGGGTTGACTGCACTCAAACTCATCATTCTTTATAATGAGAATAGCCCCTTCCTTCCCAAGAACCCCGTTCAGTCTCTGACTGTCTGCTCTAATATGTCTAATATAGTCTCAGTGGTGTCCAACTAATGCCTTTCTAACTTCCCTCATGTGAAGTTCCCGTCTGACCTGCTCCGTCTAGCACTTCTCTGGTGCATTTACGCCGTCTTCATTCTCCCGTGAAGTTGATCTTTTGAGCTCCTCCGTCTACCGGTGTCCCCGCATAGCCTCAGTTCCCGTCTCCGGCTGCCCTAGGGTTGTAAAAGTCAGGTTCTTTTCTCAGCCCACCAGTCCTCTTCTTCTCTTTCTTTTTCTTCTCACCTTCACCTACCTCTTCTCCCTTACCTCCCTCTCTTCCTCTTCCTCAGCAACTTCCCTCTTCCCTCTGGCATCTACAGAGGATCTAGATGAGAAGGGGGCTTCTTCCTGTACTCCCTTTTCCAGCTTCGCATTTTCCCTACCGCCAGACTCCTCGCCGCCTCGTCCTTCTCGACTTTCCGCTTCGCTTCGCGACTAGCTCCGCGGTAGTCCCTTCTCTGCTGAGTCTACCTCTGGTTGGAGTCTATAAGAGAGGGAATCTCTTCCTCCCGCCTCTTCTCCGAGCTTCTTCCTCCTACATCCACATCAACACGCCGAGGCAGCACTTTCACATACATTAATATCCTCGCCTCTCCCATTCGGAGTACTCAGGTATGTCATCCAGGCAAGAGCCTTACTCACCTTTGAGATCAGCATTGAGCGTCATTAACATGTCTTAGGCCGTCTACAGTCTTCAACTTGAAGCAACAATCTTTTCTTCTTCCAAACAAGTCTGCTTCCGAGTCTTGGCCTCGATTCTATAGAGCAACCGCACAACAACACAGCAGCATAGACATAGAGACGGAGATTTCGCCTTGCTTTTCGGCTTTCTTGACGTCAGCATCGGCGCGCCTTGGCTCTTATAGAACAAGCCTTCTATAAGCCAGTTATCGACAACGAAACAAGATCATTTAGATCATTCACCAATAACCTCTACCTCATCAAGAGGTAGCAGCAACACTGAACGCAGGGAATCATCTGGTGGAGATCTCTCTGCCTACTGCAAACTGCAACTCCTGGCCTCTTTTGGTCAAGACAGCTCAAGCATTTTCAGACTCAGCTAGGTAAGTCATGATATGTTTCAGCACTGCTTGCTCACCGCCCCAAGAACCTTTCCCTACTTCCCGACCCTCTTGCACACCTGCCTTAGTTGCACCATCTTACGAATGGCGCTTTCCATCCGCGTCAACAGCCGCTCTTGCCTTTCCCGGAATGAAAAGCACGGGGGTCTTGAAAGCTCCTCGCTTCACATTCTGATTTCGCCCTTCATCTTTCCCCTTCTACATCACCACTTTCGAGGACCCAATCGTCAAAGGTTGGTAGAGTGAGCGGTACTCTCCATCGTCATTTCCAATTCAATCGCTACAAGAATCGATTTCAGCCAGTGCTTCCTATCTTTGCTCCCGCATCATCTTCATCATTCATATCTTGAATTTCTCTCTCCAAAAGAGAAACATCGTCAGTCCATTCGTTAACACCATTCATTTACAGTTCTCCCACAGAATCAGCCGAAGGCTCCTGCACCTCGATAGATCCTCTGGACCTCTTCCACCAGCAGCACAACGCAACGGCGGCCAACATGGTTGACAACTACGACCCCCGTTTCCCCGGCCGGGTCATCAAGCAGGAGAACAATAATGACGGCGATGAGAGCGTCTACGCGTCGACTGATAATGGCTTTAATGATGACAAAAGCGACGCCGGAAGCCCACCCGCCCCTGCTCGTCCAATCCTTCCCCAGTCAAACTCGGAGAAGCTCATTGATTTCGGCGACGACTTCGATGAGCCCAAGGATCTGGAAGCTGCTGTCTCTGACACCAAGCATGCGCAGACGATCTCGAGTGTCGCTGTCATTAAGCAGGGCGATTCCCAAGAGACCGCGATTCCGCCTCGTGAGAACAGACCTTCCCCGATCGAGTCTTTCGTTTCTGGTCGCAAGCCACTGAACCCATCCTCAGCCGAGTTTACCCCCAGCAGCACGAACCGAGATCATTTGTCGTCAAAGCAGTCATTCTCGTCCTACTCAGATGCTCGCCAAAGCTTAGACACGGGAGATGGCCTCTTCGCCATGAAGTCCCGCCTCAGCCGGCTCGAGGCCGATCACGAAGCCCTCAAAAGCGAGAATGAGAGCCTCGAATATGTCAACGAATCGCTAAAGCATCAAGCGAACTTGGACCAGGACACAATCACCAAGCTCAGGGAAGATATCAAGGAGGCCAATCTCCTCCGATGCAGAGCGCAGACTTACTCTGTCGAACAGAATGAGCGAAGCAGCAAGGATCAAGAAGCACTGAGCAGACTCCAAGACGATCTCGACCATAGTCAAGAGCAGCTCACAGAATACAAGGCGAAGTATGCCGGAGCGGTCGCAAACAATGCGCCTCTCGTGGCCCAGCTCCAGGCCATGCAGAATTGCCTTCTCAACGCTGTTGAGCGAGCCAAGATGTACGAGGCCTTCATGCGTTCCTTTATCGCTGATAACCCAGAGGTTACAGAAGCTTTCGCAGTCATTGGAGTCTCTCCTGATAACGGAGCAACCACGAACGCAGGTCTCCCGACGGTTCTTGGCATCGATGACGAGCCTTTGATATCATTCGAGGACCATTTTCCAGCTCTCCAGGCACCTTCCAAGCCCCAGAATGTTGATCGAGCCAACCAGGCAACTTTCCCGAAGCCCGAGTTCCCCTCCACCTTCAAGGAAGCCCTCGTCACGCCCGACGCTTTGGCTGAAAAGCAGCATTCTGCTCCCCTCATTGAACACCTTGACAACCAGAACACCGAGACTGCAACTCGCCCGGCCGGCAATGTGACTGGACTTGACTGGAGTGATGGCAGCGATAACATCTGGGACAGTCCCTTTCAGAAGGAGCGCGCGCTGCAGACACACCAGCGTACCGTAGGAAGTCGTCACCCTTCAGCGGTGCCGGGTATGTTGAAATACGGCCTTCGGTATATACGCAATGGGGCTGGTCAGAAGCTAACCGCCGATAATGGCGTATCAGATGTGTCTTCCAGGATGATCATCATGACTGGACTTCCCGATGAGGTTCACGTCCAGCGCATCCTTGAGCACATCCGAGGCGGTCGAATTCTCAAGGCCCACGCGATGCCTATGGGAACTAGTGATAATCGCTTCAACCATGCGTACATTGAGTTCACCTCTCCGGAGAATGCTAAGGCGTTTTACCAATACAGCCTGGACCGCGGTCGCGAAATCGGATTCACCACGACTAATGGAAACTCGGTTCAAGTCCGCATCAGCATGCCCAACACGGACTCATTTCCCCTCAAGGACTCGATCATCACCATGATTCGCGAGGGAAATACTCGTTGCTTGGCCGTCACCGGATTCCCCGTCAAGGATCTGCACATGGTTCTCAAGAGAGCTGGGCTGGCGTCCACCTTCGCTGAGGTCATCACGCACTTTGCGTACGCCGACGAGAAAAGCTTTCAGATCTCATTCTCCAGCATTGAGTCAGCTGTGCTTGTTCGTAAGTGTATCATTGGATCCCCTCTTTACAGCGGTTCGCCCGAGGGGCACGATGTCATCTTCTGCCCGGACCCGTGCGATGCCTCGCTCGATGATCTTCTCCAGATTCGACACCTACCTACATCCCGCTCGTTCAATACCGATCTCATCTCCGCAGAGAACGCCCGCGACTTTAAGACCAAAGAAGAGGCCGAGGCCGAGGGTCAGCGCTATCAAGCGGTATGGCTTGCGAATGCTCACTCAAATGATCCGGAGGAAGAGGCAGAGCTCGATGCATTCCGAGAGAGACAGAAGCCCATTACTTGGGAGAAAGGCGCAAACTGGGACGAGGCCGTTGAGTACATGGCTTATGATCCTGATCAGAGAAAAGAGGTTCGTCACCGCAAAGATCCCAAATCAGGTGCCTTTCAAATGTGGTATTCTGCTGGCTGGGCCTACACCACAGAGCAGTCGCAAAAGGAATGGCTGCACTATAATATCGACAGCACTGACCCTTATACCCAGCAGACTGCGGATTTGATATACCAGAGCACTGGCGCGATTGACCAACGAAAGGTGAATGCCTATCTTCGGACCAAGAACAAGAAGCAACACGAGCAAGACCATGACGCTAACCAAGGCGCCAACAGCAACAGCAAATCATTGTTGACGACGGCGGAGTTGACGGAGACGCAGAGCAGTCTCTGAAAGACGGATCGGCCGCCCGCCGCTCCAACCTCTCGGCCAAGCTTTTCGCGGAGTCCATTGGTATGAGGGGCAACGATCGATCAGTTCCCGTCACTGCCGTATTGCCAATTGCCGGCACCGAGTACAACCGCGTCGGCGGTGACACTGGACTGGGAGTCCCCTCTCTTCTAGACGCTCCGTCGATCCCGAACACCAATGTACCGACTACGCCTTTGGCATTTCGTCAGCGCCTTCAGGAGATCAACTATGCTCCTTCGTCCGTCGCTCCTTCGGCCATGAGCAGAGGTGTAGCCCTACACGGAATCACAAAGGCGGGGTTCAACAAGCTGGCAGCCCGCGTTGCGCAAGACAAGCGCGAAGCGAGCATCAAGAAGTCTCGCAAGGATGATGGCCCCTTTTGGTAATGGGAGTGGATAGGAATGGGGAAGAATGCGACCAGGGATTTTGCGATTGCACGCCGGGATGACGACTTTTTGCCATCTTGTGGAAGGTCTATTGGGCTTCGGTTGGTGAGCGCAGAGCGATAGATTGATGGTCCAGCTCAAAGATGGTTTGGAGAAGGATCCTTAGCTAGCGTGATACAGCTAACTTCGTTTACTTGACTTTCAGCTCCTAAGCGTCTTGTCCAGCTTTGATCTTATCATTCTGGTGTGATGCTCGTTGAGAGTTCGTAGCCATACATGCGTGATACGTCAAAAATCCAATGCACAGGACATGCCGTGGAAGAATGATAACATGATCAGATATCTCTCTCTCAAGGTCAGACGATTATCTAGCCAAGAGAAATATATCTGGTCTTGATTGATTCTAGTTAATTTGTGGTACAATGTACGTATAAATAGCTCACCCTTCACTAAAGAAGTTGATAAAAAGTTCGCTTGTTCAAGTACGTAATGCCTATAATCCACCAAAAACCAAATAAGATCAAATGTATCTCTCCTGGCTAATCATTCGAACTTGGCACGCCAAAACGCCTCGCCTTTGCATTGTCTTTGATTTGGGACCCCTCTCTTCCTCCTCTACTACGGCCCATCCCGTCTTGACCTTTCTACTCCAATGTGGCCCCCGCCAGAATAGCCCGCAGCGTTGGCCCTTCTACGCCCATCATCTCACAGTGCCTCCATCTTGCCCGCTATCTCTAGTCGTTGCAGAATCGTCGCCGCAGAATCGTCGCTTCGTATTTCGGCGTTTGGATTCGATTCGATGGGGGTCTCACGGACGTGTGCTGGGAGACGCGGTTCCGCTTGTCGCTCCCATCTTCCCCCGCAAGATGCTTACATTCCCCCTGTCTCCTTCCTCATGTCGTTGAAATAAAATACACTTGTGCATGCGTTCGTGGATATCGTATACCGAAACATTTAAATAAAGTCGTCGACAAGGCTGTGATTGTGCTGAATCACGGTCTCGTTGTCGTTCGTTGGATCGAGGGTTGTAAAGGTAAGCTAGGAAGGGTTGCCTATGGTTGACTACTCGATCCGTGGCGGCGTCTTTGACGAGTACGGTGATGCGCTTCTCCTTTTTGAAAGAAGGGGGTGTCAGGGAACCCTCAAGACAAGTTTACGGTTTTGACGCTTCAAAGATGAGGGAGTACAGGTACGGTAAGGAGGATGATAGTACTGCCATCATCCACATGCCGCAGAGACCAAAAAGACAAAAGGCCAAATTCAGTAGAGGGGGTAACATGAGGGATTAGCGCTTACGATCTCCTCCGCTCGCCTTCCTTGCGCAAGCTCTCGATAATCTTGAGCATCTCTTTACGTCCGCCGTGGCTGTCAATCAGCTTATTGGCCATGCTCATGCTGACCTTTTCGCGAGCGTTGGCGCTGAGGAGACGCTTGATGAGCAGGTGGCGCATCAGGATACACACAAACACGCCGCAGTCGCTGCCGTTCTCCTGCTGGGGAGAGTCGTCGAGGTTGAGATAGCGGAGTGGCCGGCCGAGGATCTCGGACATCTTGTGGGTGGCGAGACGGCCCTCTGCGTAGTTTGCGCCGCCGAGGGAGTCGTAGTGGAAGGCGACGCCGTCGATGGCGCTGACGAGCAGCAAGGACCAGTGGGAGCCGCCCTCAGCCTGGGCGACGTTGCGGGCGTCGTTGATGGGGAGGAAGATGTGTGTTACTTTGGAGAAGTCAGGGAGGGCGGAGCGGATCTGGCGCATGTCGGGCTCCTTCATGAGGAGGAAGGTCATTGAGGGCCGAAGGAGGATGATGCGGGCTTGAGGGTACTTGGGGAGGACTTCGCGTTCCAGCCATCTGCAGTCATCGGTTGTTAGGGGGGTTCGGAATAGGTGGTTATCGTCAAATTGCAAGTGATGGGAACTCACTCTTCCCAGAAAGCAATGTTCTGTGCAATTGTTAGCGAGGTAGGAGCAAGCGCAGGGTGGGAGGTGTGCCGTACGTTATCTGTCAACCAGTCGTTCTTGAGCGACTTGATGTCTTCGTAGGTGACTGCAATCAAGACCAGTAAGCCCAGAATGTTCTCGTGAGCTAGATCGGAGGTTCAAGTGGCCGGAACCTGCGGACTCGGTAGGGTCCCGGCACCTTGGCATCCATCAGAGGGTTTACGCACGGAGAATATCGTGATCTGCATCGTCGAAAAGAGGCTGTCAGCCGGGGCCATCATCATCAGGGGATGGTAGGATAACATCGCAGGAGGTGCGGTACACCATTGGGAGCAAGGAGGAGTGCGACTTACACGACAAGTAAGGTTGCTGCGGGGAGAGCTAGGACGCGATTCGGGTCAGTTCACTGGCGCTTGCGCTGAAACAGGACGGCCGCCCCTCTCATACTACCCCGCCGTTGCCAGCCTCACCACCGACCGCACCTGGGACCAGCAGCGACGAGACGAGAAGGGCATGTGCTTGCCCATCCGCGGCTGTCGTCCGACCTGGAATGCAGGAGATGATGAAAGACTGTGACCTCATCAGGTCGCACCTCCCAGTGCTGTGGCAGCGGCGGCGATGGCGAGGCGAGGCGAGAGCAAGCTAGGCCAGGTCTAAAGACAAAGACGGAAAGGAGCAGGAGGTTGCAAGAAGAAAAATCTTACAGTGTCACCAAAGTGACGGGCCATCTTCCTGAAAGGCATACTCAGGCGCGACTCCGATTTGTGGCCGGACTTTGTGCTGCTCGTCGGGGAGGTCGAGGGGGAAAGCTGAAGGGATGCTGGTGGTGATACTGCTGAGGCCGATGCGATAGAGGATATCGAAGATGTCGTCGAGGTCGAGCCGGAGCGGGAGGAGTTGATCGCTCGGGGCGGCGATGGTTGTCGGTTGCGAGAGGAGCGGAAAGGTAAGAAGCGGCTGTTGTTCGCGGGGAGTTGCGTCAGAGGGGGGATGCTTTGGTTCGGTTCGAGAAGAGCGACGATCTTTTCCAAGAGTGACTTTGGGGTAAGGTAGGTGAAGTAGGTACGTAGGTTGACGGGTGTGTGTGGTAGTGAACTTGAGGAACCGGTACAGAGTACGGATAGAAAGAAGATTGTGAACCAGAACGGAGAGAAAAGGGTTCCGAGAATAGGATCAATTGGGAGGAGAGTAGGAAGAGAGAACGGAAGACGAGGGGGGATAATTAGCCAAGGCTAAGAAATGAAATCAAAAAAATAATTCAGGGCCCTTTTTCGCATCCGCTCTTTTTTGCTTTTTTTTTCTCGCTCGGGATTGATGAGCGGGGGGGAAGGGACGAGGGTCTCTGTTGTTTCTGCGTGGGCGGTGGGAAACTTCAGGATCCTCCTGGTCATAGGTTGCAGACGGAGCGGAGCGTAGGTTCGCTGTGGACGACGGTGGGGAAGCGAACGGGGAGAAAAGACGATGAACGGGGCTGACTGGGCTGGCTGGGTACCTTAGGTGCACTGGAGTTGGGCTGGTGCCGTGCATGCAGCGGGCAGTGTGTGCAGTACACAGAGGTGCTGACTCTCTCTGAGTCTCCGAGAACCAGAAGATGAGGCTTGAACGACGAATGACGACGGGGGGAGACGTGGCCCAGAAGTGGCGCAGCACTATGATGGGGGGGAAAAAGAGACGAAAAATGCGAGGTGACGAGGTGACGGGGTGCCGACAAGCCACACTTGTGGGGGAGCCGAGGAGCTAGGGCCACTATCCCGGGCTTAACCTGATTCGGAAGAGCGTCTCCACTTTCCCATGGTGCCTCCGGCGCACCCTCCAGAACCCAAGGGATGACGACGATGATGGTCCCCCCGTGTTCTCATTTGAACAAGCAGGCAGACAGGATAGGCCCGAGAATATGAAGGTGAGAGATAGAGGAAGAAAGTTCTCATCATACCTTGAATTGCTCAACCGGCTGATACCCGTATGCGGTACACCTGCTGCTGGTTGAACAGCAACTGCCGCGGCCATCGTTTAAAGGTGAAGCACAGGCCAAGTCCGAGGAAGTACTAGGGACTCGAGGGTATCGGGAAATCCTCGCAAAAGGTGTTTTTGAGTGAGGATGTAGAAGCTGCACAGTACAGTCGGCGGGAAGGGGGATAGCAAGGAGTCAGAAAAAGTGTTTGCTGCAAAAAGACCATACCACTTGCACGGCAGCGTGAGCGAGGGGGGAAACACACGACTTTAACATGCGTCCCAAGGGAACAAAAAACGAAACGTGCTAGTCTCGATGGCCGATCATCTGCAAGACCTACCTTACCTTACCTTACCTCAGTACCTACCTACTTACCTAAAAGACAGGGATGGGCAGGATGCCACTGCAATCAAGGTAAGGTACGCGAGGAGAAAAAGGAAAGGGCCCCGAGATCTGGAGTAGGCATGGAGAAACTCTACGTAGTGCCGCTGCATCCCGATTCTGTTTTCGATTCCCACCAAAGAAACATCCCCTCTGCTTGTTTGCTTGTGACAAATGAATTGAGACGGCGAAGGGAGGAGTCACCATTCGAGAGAGAAGAGGGGGGAAGCCATGGCTGAGCCTCTAACTGAGAAAAAAACCTTTTCTCTCACAATCAAGTCTCACTTACAGACCCTCCCTCTCCCCCCTCACTGTTATGATTATGGAATAAAGTAAAGTAAATTGGAGGTGAAATGATTGCTTAGTGATGAGTCTCTAACTGGATCATCTCTCCATCTCCTCGTGATCTTAATTCAAAACGAGATACTGGAGGGGGTTCCAAAGGCACCGAACAAAATGAGCGACAGAGAAGAAAAAGGGCAGCCAAGTTTCACCTCGTCTACGTCACCGCGCTGCGGCATCATGATGCTGCTGAATCTGCGATACCACCCACCTGGCGCACTTCCCGCCGCAAACCCTTTTTGGACGAAAAGGGAAAAACAAAAAAAAGGCACCCAATGTCATCAACCGGGTCTAGCCATTCCCGCCTGGGACTAGAACAAGCCGCTCGATACTTTCTTCGCCTAGCCATCGCGGTGCCCAACATCTTTAGCACCTTGGGGGAAGTACGTCTGCGTTAAAGTAGGTACCTTGCTTACGCCGATGGATCGAGTCGCACGAAAACGCTCGCGGCTTCAGTGACGAAGCCAAGTCCATCACCGGTGTGGTGGACCCTCAATCCGCAGTACCTAGCAAGAGGTGAAAAAGCGCAGGCGGGGGATGAGGAAAGGAAAACGCTCGTCACTTGCATCGGTTTCTGCCGAACGTGGCTTGCTCCTCCCCAGGACCCCCGATCCAGAGCGCCAAGTTTATCAACCAGCCCAAGCAACCCACCCGCAGGGCTGGTGGGTGGATATGGGGTGCCGCTGGAGAATTACCTAGCCAAAGGGTCGATTCAGTTCTCGAAAGGAGGGCTCAATGCATCTCTGCAAGGTACTCACAGCACACTCATACTGGAACAAGGTAGGTAGGCTCAATCTTGTTGAGAAGATGCCGAAGGCGGTCTCGAACAATTGACTTTGAAAATCGTGCGTTTCTGCATCACCCTGCCACCTTCTTCGACCGTCCGGGATTGACATGGTGGGGGTCCGAGAGAGACAGAGAGAAAAGGGATGCGCCGAAAGCACGCAAAACCTCGGAGCCATCCGCTCACGGCCCGGAAGTGGGACGAAACGCTTGACAGGGCAATGCAATGGGAGCTCAGCAATGTCGTTGGTCAGGTGTCTTGAATCCTGGAATCTCAATTGTGGTATTTCCTCAGGGTAGACCCTGTTGTGGAGGCAATCCTATCTTTCCAGCCCATCAATCATGTCTCATGTTCCATGCCTTTGTGTTCCGGATATCGTACAATCGTTGCTTCGTCCTAGGTATTGTCCTGTGTCGTTGCGCTCAAATAGCCGTGGGAATAGAGCTCTGAGTGCTGCTACCTTGCCAAACCAAACACCTCAGTCCGATCCACCCGCGAGACCTCCCTTGCGTCCCGCCTCGCGCGCCCTCTCTGAGCCGGGCTCAAACGAGCCGGACGACGCCTTGCCGCCCTCGGAAGCAACCTCGCGCAGCTTGTCGGCGTCCATGCTGGCGAAACCGCCCGTGTGGCTTGCGTGCCCGCCCTTGGCTGCGATCTCTTGAACCTCCTCCTTGGGCCTGCGGTCGCGTTAGTGATCGTCCCGCCCGAGGGAAGCATGTGCGAACCATAGGTTTGAGTCAAGCTTGATAGATGAAGGGACAGGGGCATTGTAGGGAAATTTATGGAATATGAAGCCAGCTTACCGGTTGGCAAAGTTGCCGGGGTTGGTGTTGCCGGTGGCCGAGTGGGTCTCGGCCTCGATTCCGCCGCCGTGGCTGGCGTGACCTCCCTTGGCCGCAATCTCGCGAACCTCCTCCGTGGGGCTGTTGAAGATTGTCAGACATGTGATCTCAAAAAGGAGTATATCTCACGGAAGGAAGAGCATACCGGTTTGCAAAGTTACCAGGGTTCGTGTTGCCGCTCGGGACTTCCTGTGGGATGCCACCACCGTGGCTGGCATGACCGCCCTTGGCTGCGATCTCGCGAACCTCCTCAGTGGGACTTTGTTCCGTTAGCAATGACTCAAGAATCAAGAGATATATAGACGCTGGTGGAGGGTACTGAGAAACATACCGGTTGGCAAAGTTTCCGGGGTTAGTGTCGGCCATGATGATGATTTGCGGTATGGGATCCGTGTAAGTGGTAGTGGTCTCGACTTGAGATGGGAAGTGATTGTTCGTGGGTGTGATGTGGGAATGACACTTCGAGGCTAAGAGGAGAGCTTCGTGGATCTTTATATCAACTGTAGGAGACACAGACTGAATGAGAAGGAGCGGCTCAAGAATGAGAAGGTGCAGTTGTTGCCTGCTCAGCTGCACAGTTCCTTCCTTGTGACGTTGAGTCTAGGCAAACGAGCCTTCCCCTCCTGTAGATCGCTGTTGCCGACCGCATAATATGACGAGGAAAGGCCACACATGCAGGCCTTACCCCAAACGAAGACCATGAAGAACTTCACAAACGCACTACCCAAACTGCTAGAATCTTGTGCAGAAAGAGCAAGCTATGCGCCCAGAAAACAACTGATTGGCGATGAAGTTGTCCAACGCCGCCATGCCTGGACTACGGCTGACATCACCCCTTCGTCAAACCTGCCAAGAAGTCCACAAAACGCCCCTATGGACCACTCCAGACCGTTGGAGATACCCTGCGCACCTTAGTCTGACGATCTGTTTGTTTACTTTTCTTTAATTTTGACCACACGGAATATCTCATTACAACGCGTCTGCACCCTTGACGTTGGGCAGAATGACGTCGGCTCATAAGATCGTCGTTGGGATATTTTCTGATTTGCTATCTTTGAAACGCTAGGCCGGTATCCCTGCCAGAGTAAACAATGCACATGGTGACAAACGGAATATTCAACGCATGTCATTCATCAGGCAAACCCAAGAAGCACGTCAAATTCATGCTTGATATCTCTTTTGATGTAGACACAATTTCCATCAACAGGGTGCCTTAGGGGTCTATCCTCCCTGGCTACTTATTGGGACCTCTTCGGTTCCTCGTACTGCCCATCCTATTTGATGCCGTTCCAGTGCCCCCAAGACGCTCTCAGTCTGATCACAGTCTGCGGCCTGACCATCGGAAGGTACTGATGGACCAATTGCGGCTCAACTGCCACATCATCTTCGTGTATCCTCTATACCGGCATACGTGTACCTGACACTGTATGCATCATGTAGAGGCTTCCCGGCCCTGACAACTCTATGAACATCGTGGATACCATCGCGGCCATCATAAAATAATAATGCAGGCGCCATCGAGACTGTTTGCAGGCTTCTGATATATCCCCAGTCTAGGGTGCCACTCCTAGCCTTTCGTTCAACAAATGTGGCCCTATGGGAGTTCCGTTGCGTCTCAAGGGGGAATTTCGTCGTCATTTTCCGCTTGGTGACGACGATTTCTTCAATATCGGGAATCCTCCGAAAGACAAATCGTCTAATCATTGATGTAAGCGCCAAGCGCGCCGCGAAACCATCATGGAGTCTCTGCCCACCTGTCGTCGACGTGATTCCATGCTTCTGTGCGCCCTGCTCTCAGCCGCTGTCTTGATCAAGTCCGTCGGGAATCCCTCTCTGCCAGTGATAGTAGTAAATATACCACGATCAAGCCTTATGTGCTGAAAGCAGGGTTCTGCTCCATCGTGCTCGAAATGTGCTTCCGCAGCGCAGCCCACCGGCTCGAAGTCGCACTCGCCGTCGTCTCCTGCGCTCCCGTCTCCTCAACCGCCATCGCACCAGCACCAGCACCAGCACTGCTAGTATTCGCAACAGCCGGCACGGAAGCCAAAGCCGCCATACTAGCCCCAAACCTCGCCACCTCGGCCTTAACAACCTTCTCCTTCCTCTTCAGCGCGCCCGGCCTGCTCTTGAGACTCTTATGTCGAACCTTGCCCTCGCGCAGCTGATCCAGCGTCTGCGCGCCCTCCTCCAGCTCCGGCAGCGCGTCGGCGAGCGACTCCATGGTCGCGACGAGCTTCTTGTTCGGTCTCCGGCGCTTCAGGGTCTTGCCGCTGCCGGGGGCCGTCTTGGCGACTTTGCTGAGGAAGGCGCTGTGTTTCATCGTTCGCTTGTCCTTTTTGTTGGTGAGGAAGCCGTCGTCGACTTGGGCTTCGGGGCGGAGGGTCTTGTGCGGCGCGAGGGGGTGGATGTCGCCGCGGATGCGGGCCATGCGCTTTTCGCGGGCGGAGAGGGCTTTTGTTGGTGCTGTGGGCGCCTTCGAGACGTTAGTTTTGGGGAGCGGCGAGGGAGGGGAATCAAATCGCATTACCATCTTGAGTGATCTGTGTATTGAAGGTTCTGGAGAGTTGTATGGTTGAGAAGGCTCGAGTTGAAAGTCGGATCTGGGTCAAAGTAGGATGCAAAGTACTGAAGTTTGAGGACGTACTTGACCTGACCCAAAGCTTCAAAAATTCGTGGTGGGGCCGAAAAGAAAGAGATGTGGGTCTTCTAGAATCGCGGGGTCGGAGATCGGGGGCGGAACCTCCGACATTTTATACAGGTCCGCACCGCCGCTCACAAATTCCGCGCTTGGGGAGTCATCGATTCTCACTTACACCGCAGACCGCGCAGACTGACGCAATTATGGGCAAAGTCGAAGAGCTGCGACGCAAAGTCGCAGAAGCGGAGCGCGATCTTAGAAATCTCAAGGAACAGCTGGCCACCGCAGAGAAAGAGGCGCAAGAGGAAGCAACAGCATCAGCATCTCAACCCTGGAAATGGCCCCTGCAACCCGAGGATTATGAGAGATATGGACGACAGCTCATCATACCCCATGTAGGCGTCAGAGGTAGGTTTCGACTACAAAACTCGTGATTTGAACGTCCATCTCACTAAAAATGACTAGGTCAAATAAGACTGAAAAAGTCCAAGATCCTCATCATCGGCGCCGGGGGTCTGGGATGCCCCGCAGCGGCCTATATCTCCGGAGCAGGGGCCGGCACTGTCGGCCTCGTCGACGGCGACGTCGTCGAAGTCTCCAACCTCCACCGCCAAGTCGCACATTCGACTGACAGAGTCGGAATCTCAAAGGTCGAAAGCGCAATCACATATCTCAAGGGGTACGCAAATAACACCCCCTACCTTTGACCACATCTCCACAAAGCTCACATCACGCTCTCAGTCTCAACCCACTAGTAACATACCATCCACACAAAACACACCTTACCCCAACCAATGCCGAAGAAATCGTCTCCCAATACGACCTCGTCCTCGACTGCACCGACCACCCAACCTCCCGCTACCTCATCTCCGACATCTGCGTCCTCCTCCAGAAACCCCTCGTCTCCGCCTCGGCCTTCCGCACAGACGGCCAGCTCATCATCCTCAACTCCCCCGCCGCGCCGCAGGGTACCCTGGAAGGCGGAGGACCCTGCTACCGCTGCGTCTTCCCCAAGCCGCCGCCGCCCGACAGCGTCGTCAGCTGCGGCGAGGGCGGCATCCTCGGGCCCGTGGTAGGCGTCATGGGCGTCCTGCAGGCTCTCGAGGCGATCAAGCTCGTTGCCTTAGGCGCGGTCGATCCCGATGTCACCGACAAGAGCGCGACTGCGGCTACGCCTTCGCTTCTCATCTTCTCGGGCGCGGCGACGTCGGGGCAGTTTAGGTCTGTTCGTATGCGGGGCCGGAGGAAGGATTGCTTCGCTTGCTCTGCGGCGTCGACGCTTTCTCTCGAGACTCTGCGATCGGGATCGCTGGACTATGTATCGTTTTGCGGTGTTGCTGCGCCGGTTAGTGTTCTTGCACCCGAGGAGCGTATCTCTGCGACCGAGTACGAGCGTGTGTCCAAGGAGGAAGGAGGCCGGCATCTTTTGCTGGACGTTCGAGAGCGCGAGAACTTTGACATTTGTAGCATCGATGGCGCTGTCAGCGTACCGATTGCAAAGTTCATGAAGGAGACGCAGCCGTCAAGCGAGGGCGTTAAGCCTCAACCTGGGTGGCTGCCGTCGGATTTCCCCGAGGACTCGCCCATTTACCTTGTTTGCAGGGTCGGCAACGACTCACAGCTTGCAGCGAAGCGTTTGAAAGATCTAGCGCTGGATAACAACGGCAAAAGATTCATTGGAGACATTGACGGTGGCATGCGGGCGTGGAAGAGAGACGTGGACCCCACGTTGCCTTTCACCTGAGATGGAGCAGGGCGGGGCGACGGGAGAGAAAAGATTTGGATATAAAAAAGTTGAATTTGTTCTGACGAGGGGGGCTGGGTCGTCATGATACATACTTTTCCTACGCGATACCCCTATTGCTACAAAGAGAGGAGGGCTGCCTTCGCCCGCTAGCCACGATCCTGATTAATCCTAAAGAAACTGTCCTCGGCAGAGAGCCGTGGTGGTTGGTCGTTGGGGTAGTACTCTACACGAAGCTGACACGCTTCTTGTTGAAGGCTCGCTGGTCCTTGAGCCATTGGCGGTAGCCCTTGACGCTTGAGATTTTCTCGCCGTAGAAATCGGGGACTAGTAGAGATTAGCACGTGGGAGCGTGGCATATTGATGGGGTGTACATACCAGGGTTACCAACAGAGGAGACAGAGGGGTCAACACGGTTCTTTTTGATGCGGGCGAAGAATTCCTTCTCCTTCTGTAGCCGAAATTCACGTTAGCCACAGTCATTGTCTTCCAGAACACAGCGAGGACCACTTACCACCGTCATCTGAGTCTTCCACCTCTTGTTCAGCGTGTAGAACACCAGAGAACCAACGCTAGGTCCAATAAGCCATCCAAGAGCACCGAAGCCCATCGTCATAAGACCCATCGTAATGAAAGGATCCAGAGGAATCTGTGTCACCAGCGGGTCCGCAATGCCAGTAGCCAAGATGCCAGCACCGCCAACAAAGGATCCCAGCCCGGAAATGACGCTGAAGCCAAGTTGCCACCTTCTACGGGACTTGCGCAGCTGGAAGAAGGTCTCCCAGTCCAACCTGTCCCCCGGCGTAGGGGCGGACTTTTGTTGCGCCGCAGCGGAGGCGGTAGCGGTAGCGTTGCAGCGGTGGGAGCAGGGTTGGCGGACGACGCGGGCGACGATGGAGGACGAGGGGGATGCGGCAAAGGCGGCGCTGGTTCGGGCGATGGGGCCGGCTGTCGAGGCGAGGCCAATTGGGCGGGCAGAGGCTTGGTGCTGCTTCATGGAGGCGGTCGAGTACGGGCATGCGGTGGTGCGGGCGATGGAAGAGGCAATCGATGCGCGGGCGGCGCCCTGGCCGGCGAGGCGGAGGGCGAAGGTGCTCGTGGGCGTCAGCATATTTGCGAGGCCTTGGCGAAGAGTGTTGATTAAATTCGGGTTGTCGTGAGCATCGACGTTGCGGTGCGCGCGCGAGTAGAGGGGAGATTTTCTTTTGGTGGTTTGGCTTTGGTTTGCGAAGAAAGAAATGGAAATCGAAGCTGGGATGTGGTGGATGGAGCTTTGTGCTCCTCGCGATGAGGTCAAGCTCGGCCCACCAAAGATTTGACGCCCTGCGCAGCGCGCCGGTAGACCGTAGACGCCCAGCCGCAGCTTCTGCACGGACCCTTTTGCACCACCTGCTTCCCCGGATCCCAATGATCCTGAAATTCAAGGGTACTCAGTGCCTTAGGTAATGCAGCATCACGGTCACCTAACTACTACCTAGGGATACTATGGAGTGATCTTTGAATAATTTTATTAGATTTTAATACTAAGCTAGAGATAATTAACTACTCTAAATTTAATGCATTTAATACTTATTTTAATACTTTAAATACTACTTTGGATATTATTAAAAAAAATAATAAGGTTAATTGTGGTATTAGTAGATTTATAATAAGATTCTATATGTAACCTAAGAGTGATAGTAGTTATCTTAGTTCTGACGAGTCTTGTAATTCGTAGCGGCTGTGCTGGTGGAGAAAAAGTTAATTAAAGAACTAAGGCTTCTAAGTTTCCTCCCTCTTGCACCCAACCGGCGCCGCTGCCACGAAACAGCGCAGGTATTGGCAGACCACGCGCAAAAATCAGGTACTTAATTTCGTGATACGAATGTCATTCGTCAATTGCTATCGTATTTTTCTGACGTCCCTAGCCAGCGTCGTTGTCGAGAATAGAAGTGTTGTCTTTACTAGCGGAAACCGCGACACGACACGAGACGAACACGAAGGCCGATCCCCAACCCACAGGTACCTACCTTAGACGACGGACAATCCTACCGAAGCCTTGCCCGACCTGCCGCCACGCCGTTTCGTCCAACAGAATCACAAGAAAGGTGTCAGGCGTGACATGGTGGACTTCTCCGAAAGGAGCAAGAAAACCATGTCGCGACCTTCAAAGAAACTCGTCTGGTTCGGTGGTCAACCCCCCACCCCGGCCGACATCAGCAACGGCGCCGCCACGACCAACAATACCACCACATCTTCCACATCCTCAATACCGAGCCGGCAACCCCAGCCGCCCCGAAAGAACCCCGAAACCGAGCCGCGCAAGCTCGCCGTGGTCCTCGAAGACCTCCCGACCTACCGCCGCTATAAACGCGGCTCCGGACCGCCTTTGCGCCCGATAACCCTCGCTCCTCCCCGCGACTCGACGGCCTACATCCGCGACGAGTTCTTTGTCCCGCCCGCGCTCTCTGACGACGGTAAGAAGCGCCTTCAGTACGTGGTGGGATGGACGGACCTGCCGGCCGCGCGGGTCGTGGTTGACGCCGAGCAGATATGCGACTACGTTTCGCCCATGGCGTACGAAGAGTGGTGCGCTGCAAGAGCCGAGGAGCGGGATGAGGAAGAGCGCCGGCTGGAGGAGGCGGAGAATGTGCGCGCTGTTGAGGAGGTTGTGGCGAGGGAGAGAGGCGTCGCGATATCGGGTGAGAAGGGTGGAAAGGGGGCGAAGAGGGGCCGGAAGAGGAAGCATGTCGCGGCGGAGTTGAGGACACCACCACCCGCCGTGGACGGAGAGAAGAAGAAACGGGGCAGGCCGAGGAAGAATGCGCCTTCGCTTTCTACGCCGTCCAAGAGCGCCTTGGTGGATGAATTCAGGGAGCTCGACACGGAAGCGGAAGCGGACGTGGACGTCGAGATGGAAAACGCGGCCGATGACGAGGCCGACGATGAGGCCATTTTCAGGCAGCTCAACGGAACCGGAACAACAACACCGTTGCTTCTGACGGAGGACTCATACGACTCTGGCGAACAGAGTAGTTTACCCGCGGGCTTAGAACCCCCGACCAAGAAACAAAGGACCGGGTCACCGAGACCGGCCTTCTCGCGGTTCATGCCGGGAATCGAGACGGACACCAGCAGCCGGAGCACGCCTTTTGACTCGTCCAGAGGCGCCACCAGCTCACCGGCCCTGCCGCCGCTACCACAACCGCCGGCGCCGGGTCTCCAGGGAAGTAGTGGCCGGCCTCGGGAGACACCCATCTTCCCGCCGATACCCCCGGCCTCTGCGAACCACACATCCACGCCCACGGCTCCGCGGGTAGCAAAGACACAGCAACCGCCGAAGCGGTCCCTCCTCTCAATACGAGATCCCCCTTCCACGCCCCAGCAATCGTCCTCGCCAAAGGTGCAAACACCTACACCCAAAGCCAGTACTATGCTTCCACCGCCAGCGACGGCGCCCCCGGTGTTTATTTCGACACAGAACGGAACAGGCGCAGATACAAGCTGGACTCATACGCCGATACCGAAGCCGGGAACCACGCCTTTGATACAAAACACGACCCCCTGGACGATCTCCCTCGCGGCGTCTAAATCCTCCTCCTACTCCCAACTAACGCCCTCGCAACCAGTTCAGTCAATAGAACAACCCATCTCTACGACGCCTATACCAATACCCAAGATACCGGGCCCAAAACCGCACATCGCACCAACCTCACGAGCACCACACCAAGCACCCCTACCACAAACCGCCTCAGCACCCCCGGCAACAACAACAGGCAGCAAGACCGTAGCCACAAACTCCAAACCCACCACAAGCAAACTTCACACCGCGCGGAAAACCGGAACGGCAGCAGCACCAACAGCAACACAAGATGATGACGAAGAAGAAGACGAAGACGAACAAGTCTACGAAGTCCTCCGCATCGAAGGCTTCGAAGACCGCGTCTCCCGCCGCAGCGGCAAGAAACTAGGCCGCTTCTTCCAGGTCCGGTGGAAGGGCAACTGGCCCTCGTCCATGAATCCGACGTGGGAGCCCGAGTCCAACATCCCGCAGCACGTGATTCAGAGGTTCTACTTTGAAAAGGGCACCACGCCAAAGAGGAACGTGCAGGCGGGCGCCATGGATAAGTACCTCGTGCCGAAGAAGTACGCGTCCGTGTCGCGGGCGGTCGAGGGGAAGGACGAACTTGGAAGGGGCCACGGCGATCACAGGAATGGCAACGGTAATGGGGTCCCGGCTGCGGCTAAGGCTGCACTCGCGACAGGGGACGGAGACGAGAATGCTATGGATCAGATTAAAGTCGAGGGCGATTATGACGAAGGCAACGATATGATGCTCGTTACCGACTTTCGAAACCTTCTTGACCCGGAGGGAAGGTTCTGAATAGCAATGACCAAGTTATGATAGCGATTCCCTGCGAGCATCGAGTGGGATCAACATTAGGTGGTTTGGATTCGCGATCAGTGGGTAGCCACATGTCAGAAGACAAAGAATAAAGAGTCAAACAGTGATACCAACATATCGTCTTTGCAGGCAACGTTGCGGATGGCCCACTGGAAGTGATGTCCTTGATTTGTATCCAAGCCTGGAGGACAAGAGATATGTCACCATCTTGTTTCAATTGGTTGTTTGTAGACGTCCCACAAGCTCTCCACATCGCGCATGGGATATATCTTCCAGTCTCGTGAAGACGATGTGTAGACATGGGCAGAGTGAATTGACGATACCTATCTAGAGGTTTGCGATGTTGTCCCGGTCTCTTGGATATTCACTTTTACAGTTGAGGTTCGCGAACACGATGATCCAAGAGATGCAGCACATGCGTTATGGCCCGCTCTCTGCAAAGTAGTGTAGATTCAAGAGCCATGGCATTTCCAATTTCATGTGAGGAACTGAATTATTTGCACATGATCTTCACAACACACTATACCGCCTTGTTAGACCAGCTTCAAATTCCATCAGCTCACCATGTTTGATAGGTGCAAGTTAGTGAACGATGGCCTGAAAATGATCCCGCAGCTCACCCCCGCCAATCCCGCATCCCACCGCCCGGGTTTACATAAGCCAACCCCTCCAACTCCGACGCGCGCGCATTCTCCGTCCGCCGCTCCCCCGGCGCGCCCGCAGCGAATGCTACTTGACACTAAGGTGAAGATAAGGTACCTACATACTTACATTGTAAGGTAAGGTAGGCCGGGGACCTCCCTCAAAGCGTCGTCATCCAAACCCCAAAGTCCGAACGTCAGAGACACCCGGGGCGACACAAAAAGTCTCCCGCGCCCACCCACAACTAGCTAGTACCCTGGCGCAACTCATCAGTTTCAGCATTTCCCTTCCCGCTTCAACATCCCATCTTCATCACTCTTCAAACTTTTCTGGCATCATCCCAGGTTTTTGGGTCTCGCTACCTACTTCTTATCTACAGCCTGAGCTTGCGCTCGAGCTCGTCCCCCTACAAGAACGCCTGGTCCACACCAGCTCCGACGCCTAAACACAGGGGGAAAAAACGACCGACCGAGCTTCGCCTTCTACAACATCTTCAACCTCGTCCGTCGCAACTCGACGCTAAAGCACGGGGAACAATGACAACCTCACTCCCCCAAGAACCAATCTGCCTCCTCCGCCGCCTAAAAGACCTCGCCACCCTCTCGACCTCCTCCGCTCCGTCAAAGAAGTCTTACCCTTCCATCAAAAGCATCCCGCGCACATCCTCCTCCCGCCTCGCGGCAGCGGCAGCTTCCCCAGACTCACCCAGCAACGATGCATCTTCCCACCCCACCGCCGTCGCCATCGCCGCAGAACAGACATCAGTCCTCTACCTAGCCTACGGCTCCAACCTAAGCGCAGAAACCTTCCTAGGCGCCCGCGGCATCCGCCCAATCTCCCAAGTAAACGTCTCCGCCCCGGGCCTCTCCCTCGTCTTCGACCTCCCGGGCCTGCCCTACACGGAACCCTGCTTCGCCAACTCGGCGCCCCGGAAGATCCCCAACCTCCCGGACCCGAGCGATCCTCCCAAATTCCCGCCCGTGCCGCCGCTACCGCCTCCGTCCGCCGGTTCGAAGCAGACGAGGAGCGACAACAACACCGCGACGACAGACCTGGGCTGGGACAAGGGCCTCATCGGCGTAGTCTACGAAGTCACGCCCCAAGACTACGCCACAATCGTCGCGACGGAGGGAGGCGGCTCCTCCTACAAGGACATCCTGACCCCCTGCATCCCGCTCCCGCCCCGCGTCTCCGTCCCCGAGAAGCCGCCCATCGATATCCCCCGCCCGTTCCTCGCGCACACGCTCTTCTCCCCGTCCATCCCGGACGCCGACCCCGAGGAGCCCGACCACGCCACCTCACCCCATACCTATACCACCACCACCGACGACGACGACAAAACCCCAACAGACCCCCGCAAGAAATGGTACTACCGGTTCCTCCGCCCAACCCGCCGCCCCGACCCCACCTACGCGCAGCCCTCCCCCCGGTACCTGAACCTCATCACCTCCGGCGCGGCGGAGCACGAGCTGCCCGACGACTACCAGCGCTGGCTCAACTCCCTCGTCCCTTACACCCCGACCTCGCCGCGGCAGAAGCTGGCGCAGTGGCTGCTCAAGGCGCTCTTCCTCCCCGTGTTGCTCGTGTTCTTCGCGCTGAACAAGAAAGTGGCCAACAAGGAGGGGAAAGTGCCCGTTTGGTTGGGGGTTACGTTGGGGGTTGTGTTTAATTTGCTTTGGATGGCGTACGATGCTGTGCTGAGGCCTGCTTTTGGGGATGGGGAGAGGACGCAGGAGGAGGAGGAGGAGGGTGACGAGAAAAGGGGTTGGGTGAGGGCGAGGTCGTGGAGTGGACGTGTTGGGCGTGGTGATGAGGAGAAGATGGGATTACTCGAGAATATGGACTGAGAATGTCGTCTGAGGATAGTACTGGAAGGGTACGGAGATATGCATATATGTAAGGGATATATATACAGAGAATCACATCTCGAGGAATCTGGGCTTAGCTTGTACCGCTCCATCAGACAACGAGGAGGACGTTATACGATAATGTAACTAGATTGAAAAAGCAAAAAGAGTTCACCACCGGTGTGGCTACATCTCTTGTCGATTATTCTGGGTGCTCATACTGGGATTCGAACTCGGGTACTCGCTAAGCCTGTCGTCGAGTAGGCTGGTTGGCGTAGGAAATTTAATCGTCGACCACGAACCACTCCACCACCCAGCCAGTTTGACCTGACCTGTCGACCTAGACGGGCGCCTGCTGGCTGGTGACGGGAATGGACTTGGGGGCGTATATCAAGGATGAAGGACGGATGATTCACTTGGTAGCGCGTAGGATATCTCACGAACCACAAGATTGACCAGAACAATGTGCGTCATTGCTTAACCTGTCTAGATCCGTTCCTTCACACCATGCCACTGCGGTAAATGATCCAGGGATATCAACATACGTCTTTCCAAAAACCGATAACAAACCCAATACTCCGGGCCTCTACCACATACTCGCACACACCAGTGTGCCGTCGGACCTCTTTCCGTCACGATCAATGATGTTCCGTATTATCCACATGCCTCTTTTTGATATTCAGACTCCCTCCACGTAGACCTCAGTTCTCCGAAGCGGACACCAAGGTCGGGATATCGTCGACGCTGTATCGTCCCTCGAGAATGCCGTGCACGGCAGTGAAGAGAGGGTAGTGCTTCTCCTGGCCCCTCGCCTTCAAAAAGCTGTTGACCTCCTGCGCCGTGCTCGTACCCTGAAGCAGCTGACCGTTCAATTCGCGCTTCTCAATTTCCTGCACGCTCAAACCCTCGGCCACAGCCATCCTGGCGCACTTGAAGTTTCTGCCACCGCTGCACGAGGTAATCAGATCCGCCACGCCGGCCGACTCCTCGGTGAACGTCCCCGTGTGCACCGTCTGGCCAAAGAATTCCTTTCCAAAGTTGACCATCTCCAGCAGGCCCACGCGCATGATGGCGGCCTTGGCGTTGTCACCCCAGCCGCGGCCGTCAACGAAGCCGGCAGCAAGCGCGACAATGTTCTTCAGGGCGCCACCCAGGGAGACACCCGCGACGTCGGAGACCATGCGAACGTGAAAGTAGGGGCGGTGGAAGAGGTGCTTGAAGATCTGGTGGTCCAGGGGCGGGTACTCGGCGGGCACGGCGGTGAGCTTCGTCTTGGAGGTGCGGCCGCGAGCGTCCTTGTGCTGCATGTCGACGGGTGTCAGGGGCGCGAGGCCGTTGCCGCCGTTGGCGTTGGGGTTCGGGGAGGTGGCACGCGGGGTCGGGGCGCGCGAGTTATCCATGGGCGGGGGGTCGTAGGCGACGGTGGTCTCGGACCACTTCTCGGCGGCGATTTCGGAGGCAATGTTGGCACCGGAGAGGGCACCGCAGTAGATGCCGAGGCCGTCACCGATCCATTCGGAGAAGAGGGAGACGCCGTCGTCGGAGACGTTGACACCCTTGATGCAGGAGATGCCACGAGCAAAGGGCAGAATGTGGCCGTTGAGCTGCTTGCAGACATTGCCGATAAACTGGTGGGGGAGGTTGAAGATGAGGATGGTGGAGTCCTTGACGGCGTCCTGCAGAGAGGGGTTCGCGATGATGTTGTGAGGGAGCTTGATACCGGGCAGGTATTTTGTGTTTTCGTGGTATTTGTTGATGACGGTGGTCAACTTTTGGGGCTTCTCGCCTACGGAGGCATCGTAGTAAGGCGATGTCGAGTCGAGGGTGACGTCCTCCTCGTACACCCACATGTGCACATCTTCTTCGAAGAGGTCGGGGAAGGCCTTTGTGTTTTCGGCGACGATCTTGGAAATGGTTGAGCCCCTGAGTTGGGTTACGTTAGTGTCTGTTCATCTAGTCGGTGCGGTAGAAGCTATGGGTGAGGAAGCTATGGGGGTCGCGATATGAGATATGGGGGTGTATGAGAGGTGCTAGCTCACCAGTTACCGGAGCCCACGACGGTCACCTTGTGCTTCTTCTCTACGCCGAGGGAAGCCATTGCGGATGTGGAGTTGAATCGTCGTAGAGGAAAGCTGCTTCTAGCGATGGAAACAACAGGACGCAGTCTGAAAAGCATGAGGCACAGTGGAGCAAGAGGGTAAGGTAGGAAACGCGGCAAAAAGGAGGGGGTGAAGGTTATCTTAATAAGTAGTGCCCGGGACCTTGGAGGAAGTATCCGTAAGGTATGGAGTACGATACGGTAAGGCCCAAGGGTAAGGTAGGTCAAGTGGAGGAAGGGTAAAGCCGGGAAGTTCAGGTAAGACAGCTACGGTAAGGGAGGGTCCAGACAGCTACCTATCGGCATCGGCTCTTCTTTCGGTGTGTGTCGTGCGTGTCGTGTCTTGTCTTGGTTCACGGAGGGGTCACTCGGCGGTCACGAGTCGAATGGAAGCGCGGCAGCAGCAGCAGCAACAAAAAGCAGTTGATTAGCAGTGAGCAGCAGATGGCAGAAAAAAAAAAGGGTGCAGCTCAGCATGTGGTTTTGCCCCTCCATCTTTCCTCTCCCCCTGTCTGTCTCCAGCTATCCCGGTTGCCCACTTCAGTCACAGTGTCTTTGAATCTTTCCGGGAATCCACCAGCGCCCACTGCACTTACTTTTGTTGCATTTTGGTGTCGGTTTGCTCCTGCCACCACAAGTACCGCCGCAAGTAACCCCAGTTCCATCCCCGTCCTGTGAGGGAAGCTGCGACCAATTGCAGCCAGAATCCGCAGTCAGCTCAACTCTACACTAAGGTAGCTACCTACCTACCTTAGTACCTAAGGTACTGGGGTGCTCCTGCCCGGCGGCAGTGTTGAGAACCAGCATGACGCACATCCAGACCACCAGGGTCGTGGCAGCAGCCGTGACCGCTTTCCTAATCAGGTATAGTCGCTCAACGAAATGCCAGGGGGTTGAGGCCGAGTCGGCGGGCCCCTTCCCTATTTTTTTCTGGTTGGTCCATCTTTAGCACTCGCTGTCTGTTCAAACTTCTTGGGCAGGCAGGACCGAGCTGAGTGCTGAGTTGGCCCGGGCGGACGAAGGTTCCTGACCACCGGGGAGCCTCGGCCGGACACTCCGCCTCCTCCGGCCCTGGCCGAGGCAAGTCGGGGCCCGTGAGCCTGACATTTGCACGTTTTGTTTGTATCGTGAAAACAGCGAGTCAACTTCCCTCTATCAGTCCCCATCGTCTCCATCATGGTCTCCCCATCGAGTCCATAGCTCGGCTGTCACAAGACAAAAAACAAAAACGTCAACAAATTGCTTTTCACCCCACCGTCCCTATCAATTGTCCCCTCTGCCTCCGCGTCCCCATGTCCACTGTTCCAATGTTCGTGTCCAAAAGTGGATTCACTCTTGGGTGGGAACCCAAACAAATAAAACCGATCCAAGATTAGATGCAATGCACCATTGGCACTCCAGTCCTCCCACTTCGCCCCCCACTGCCAGCCAGGATCCATAGATGGGAAATCACATGCCAAAATGCCAGCTCGTCTTTTCCCTTTCGCTTCTTCACCTGTCGACGTCGTGTGGCGGACGGCGTCCCTGAATCCCGACCGCGGGGGTAAATCGTTAGCCCACGATGCCGATCGTCGCATGGGGCCACGCGGGTTCATGTCAACGAAGCTCGGGTTTCCTCAAATGTCTCTGTTGTTTCCTCATTGGCACCATCACGAGATGTCGCGGCAACGCGGCGTGCGGTTGTGCCCGCGCCGCGGCAGACGCCATACATCCCGTCTACTACACCCCGTTCGCCACCTAATCCCGGGACGTCGTCGCTGAACTCAATTGCCCCTTCTTCCCGAGTGACATATGATTTTGCCGCCTTTCCTCAAAGTGGCATGGTCCTGCTGTTGTTGTCTCTGGAACATCTGCGGCCGAGTGACGATCCCCGCGGTGGCCGACATGTGCTAGATTCCTTTGACATAATCATTGTTCAACAGTCGGTTCTCGAGGCTTGTATGACATCTGGCAGCGTGAAATAGAGGTCCACACGTCTCTCAGGCTGGAATGCTTTATGGCTCAACAGCCTTCCACTCCTGGAACGACAATAGGTAAAGAGTGAAGCTACAGATGTATTCTAGAAAGCATGGAATAAATACCATGTTCACGATCAACGTACATCGTTGTCTGTCTTTCCGAAGCAGATATACTCCCGGGGGAGCAGCCGTTCATGCAGCAAGGCACTCCTTTGCTTATAGCTTGATGGAGTATGCAGGCTAGTCAGTCTTCCAGGCGCTCAAAGCTGTTGCTACATGGATGAGCAGGTATGCCCGAGCCGGGAGACGCTAGGCAGAAACCCATTCATCGAACTCGGAGCAATCAAGATGTCCCATTGACTTCGATCAGTGGTACTGCCCAATACGAATACTCTAGGGAAACTTTGTCCACGTCCCTGGTATCGTGGCCACGGGTCTGAACTGCATAATGAGACCTTACTGCAGCGCCACATGCGTCCTGCTATCATTATGTATAGCGGGCAAACCTGGCCCGTGATATCTCGGTCTTCTTTCACCCGGCCTTGACTTGAGTTCCAGAACATTGAAGCTGAACGCGTACTTCTGAACCGTTCCACTTGAGTTTATGCGAAGTGCCCATTATCAGGATCATTGCTTCTTGGACAGCATTTCCCGTTGATGACAATTTTGAGACATTGCAGACTCGTGACCCTCCTTCTCTCTCCTCTCCTCTAAGATTCACTACCACAACATAATGTTTCGGCCAGATTATCCTGCAAAGACAATCAGGTTACCTGCATGCCGGGCCCTTGGATTCCACGGACTTGGCTCCGAGAGAACTTCGATCCCATGTCAATCATCATGAGACTCTGTTCATGGTAGCCTCGCACCAGCCTGTTGATGAATAATTGCGAGCTATCTTCTTCCTGAATTGATGACGATTTCCCATCACCTCAAATACTTCAAGATTACGTGGCTATGAGGCGTTGATCCATGGCCTATCGTAAGGAGCAGCGCTGCCGTTGGGTCATTTTCTGAGTTGAATAGTAGCTAGGCAGCGCTCGCAGAGGACTTAGACGGACACGCTGTGTTCAGACATGTTGATAGGTTGTGAGGCAGTCGCACTTACTGCTCGTGTAAGTATGCGGTTCTCGCCGTGGTGAAAACCCGGAGAGGTCCGCCTCACTGCTGGTTCCGAACGTGATGCGAGCTCCCTTGATTCAGTATCCGATTTCCAGTGAGTATCAAGTAGACGTGAATTCAACGCCTCACTGTTGGGCCATGAAAATACACTGACTTATGGCTTTGATGCGAATGCATTGAGCCACTTTGCACGGGGCGGGTGCAGGCTCGTCATATCAACAGGATGATCTCTGCGTAGCATTCTTGACTATCAATGAGTCACACGATTGGAAGTTCACGGTCACAGGACTCCATAGAGATTCAATTTACAGTACTTCGCTTTATGTGCCGTCTGAAAAGTGGCGGCGGATCACTAGCTTTAGGCAATGCCGAAGGCCAGAGTCGGTGATACCCGTCTCGTGACACCTCAAATCATTGATAGATATTCGCATTTAGACAGGTAGTATACTCCAGTATGTTGCGCCCCCTCTACTTGCCTTCAAACAGGCCATAGGTAAGATGGATGACGAAGAAGACCCTGTCACTCAGAACTCTGGCCCGAGTCGAGACTGCTTCAGCAGCCGGATGTTTCGATGGTCTGGCACTATCACTATTCATCATATAGTTGCAAGTCAAACTGTGTGAGCGAGTAATTCTTAAGACTCCTTCACTCAAGGTATGCATCTAAGCTTCTCGCGGCTTTGGCGAATTAATGATATCAGGATGGAGTTGGAGGAGACTGCTGCTGATGGTACAGGACCTTGGTCAGAGTCGCTTACGACAAAGGATGAGACCAGCTTCCCTTACAATGACAAGTCTGAGACCTGAAGTGGTCAACTGCTATTGGACAGCGCGGCGCGATGAGAGCGAAGAACACCATAGATATTGTCCAGCCACGTTGTGAACAAGCCTGGCCAAGCCACTCTGGTAGCCTGGGCTATCTCCCACATGGGCACGGTGAGGCTATCTCTGGGTACAGGGGGCGGAAAGGCTAGACTCATATGAGAGATGAGCACTAAGTGCGTCTTGCATGGGATACGTCATGGCGGGAGAAATGAACATGGGGATGAAAAAAGCGGTGTCGGCTACATAGCATCTGCAAAAGAGTAAAGACGTGGACCAGTGGGAGGAGTCAGTCAGAAGAAGGATGAGTTTAGAAGAAATAGGTACTCATTTTGGAGAGTTCGGATAATGGGGGTGAAGAACGGGAAATGAAGAATGCGATGTCGCGTTGCGACGGGTGATATTCAGGCACGGAAAGTCAATTGGGGTGGCACGAGGCACATGGAAGGCAGGTACGAGGAACGCTGGTTGCTGATCAGTGAGAGCAAAACCAGGAAACGGGAGGGTGTGACAGGCTGCTGATACCTCAGGAGAACGGGAAGAGGAAAGCACCAGCGAGGGCAAGCGGAAGGGTGGTGGTTGCCGATTGTGCGTTGGAAGCTGAGCTGGAGCTATCTTTCCGGAAAGAGCAAGGAAGGTGCAAGATGGCAGGGAAAGAGAAAGGAAGGAGGGGCATGAAACCGCGTCTGTGCAGCAAGGCGAGCCGCTAGAGCTGATGCGGAGGGATAGCTGGTGACGTCACTTTCTTTCGAGTGCTGGGATGGAGCTCTTTCTGATTCTAGTCTTCCATCTTTTTTTTTTCTTCTTCCAATTTCTTCATTGCTATCCACATCTCTTTTCCTTTACTCTACCTTAGTAATAGAAGCCGAGGAAAGGGAAGACAATAAACAGGAACACGAAGGTCTTCAACGAGATATGGCATGCCAGACGCATCAGATCATGCTAGGGCCTGCCTTAGTCGGTGCACATCGACGTGGTCCGCAGCATGCGCCGAGAATCGCACAGCTTCCGAGTCAGATCATGGTCGCCCAAAGGATTCCCGGCACCCTCATACGAGCGAGCCTCACTGCCAGTGCCAGCCGAATGCTTCAAGCCAAATCAGGTAGAGGCCACCGCCGGCAGGCCATGCAGAAAACATCTTCAGTATCCATCTTTGCGATGACCTGAGACGGCATATCGATAAGACAAACTTTGACATTACAAACCGTTGGGATAGGTACGACGATGATACTCCAAGAAAGATTGGGCATGCATTACAGCTGTCGAACTCCTCTCTATGCCTTGATCCCGGTATGGTCTGGCCTGGTCTGGTCTTTCATCTCTGCTGCGGCCTGCCGTACTCTCCCAGTCTCGCCTCAGTCCGAGTGTCCATCCCCGGCATGCGACATTAAAACCCCCGGTTACCGCTCAAGTTTGTTGCGCACACGATATGGGACACTCGCCGCACTGGGCCACAGGCACATTGGCTGGCTTTTCACTGGCCAACTCACATCAGTCTCTCTGCATCGCGATCCGAGAAGCACCCAAAGAGTGGGAATTCTCAGTGTCGACAGCGGTCTGGAATCTCGAGGATCGCGATGACGGCCCACGACCGGCGCAGCGCTAAGACCAAACT